CTTTTGCCGTATAAAACTCCTGTCCCGGAAGCTGCTTGTAGTCGGCTTTGACGTAGGTTTCGTCGTCCATTACCACGCAGTCAAACTTCGTCAGCATCGTCGTGTACAGCCTCCGGGATCGCGCTTTGGCCGTCGTATTTTGTTTATCATCGCGATTTGGAGTCACTACCTTTTTGTAAGTCGATAGTCCGGCTCGTTTTTTGGCTCGATGCACGGTTGTATACGCTTAAAAAACTTAGACCCAGCTTATTTGCGGCATCTCGGAGAGAGAGGTTAGGGTTTCGCTTGAAACTAACGGCAACTCTCTTTGTCGTCTCAGCGGCTTCCGGTTTTCGATTTCCCCCCGATGCAGACTTCCTGGCTGTCGACAAACGTTCCCAAACACTTTAATTACATTTGTAACGGTTGATTTGGCAACTTTTAGCGATTTTGCCAACTTTGCGTGCGAGTAGCTCGGATTTTCGCGATGCGCGAGTAAAATTTTGATACGCTGCTCTTCTTGCTTGGACGGCATTTTGACAACTGAAGAGTGAATTCCAAAATCAAAATAGGAGCAACATTCTACACACACACACCTTCAAAATGAGGGGTGTTCATGTTTTTTAAATGCAAAATTGAAAGAAATACGTCAAGTTGATATTGACCAAATTTTGACCGTATCACCCTTTAAAATAAGCTGTAATCATTGTAACAAAGTATATGTAGGACAAACCAAGAGAACTTTAGCAACTAGATTTAAACAACATATAGCGGAGGTTAATAAGGCCAAAAAGCAAGAGGAAAAAGGCCTAACATATGATTTCAAATCAAAGGTTGCAGAACACATCTTCACAGAGGACCACCAACTATCGACGGAGGACATCACGATTTTACGAACCGTATCTACACCATGGAAATTGGATGTTGCAGAAAGCCTCGAGATCAACAAACAACGTAATTCAACTTTACTCAACAGGGATCAAGGAAACGGACACACATGGCTTTTCAAGTTACTACCTAGGACATATCAACGAGTAAGCAACGGAGTACCTGTTCCTATAGAAAATTAAATTTAAGTTTACCTAGTTTCTAAGAGAAAATGTACCTGTATTAATATATATTCGGTAAATGCGATGTTTTTCTTCAGTCGAGTATTAGTACAAGACACTGAAGAAGTCTGCACATTGTAGACGAAATACGCGTATCTGTCAAGGATAAGCAAATAAAGTAGTGGAATTAAATGGAAAATACTAATCCTTCTCTCTCTCATTATACTATATATGAGTGTTCATTGCAAGACAGTCTATATTACATGATATTATAGTGTATGCCCCTCTTAACAGAGAAGCTATTATTGTAGCGATTGAATAGTTACATTGTACGTAACTCATAAGCGTATGTGTAAAAAGCAAGCACGTAAATAAACGATGCGAGCAGGGTCTCGCTCTCTTAGTGCGTACCCAGACAACCAGAAGTCGTATAACAATGTACAGAAAGTATCGTAAATAACTACAGTTTAAGTCAATATCGCATATAAGTATGACATACATCGCATTATGTTTAAGTTAAATCGTATAGAATGCAAATTTCCGACTTATATACGACGCATCTTTTTTTCATCGTACTGTATCACAAATTAAATCGGATTACATCGTAAGGTTTTTCAAATTGAATTTGTTATTACAGATTGAATCGTATATAATGTCAAATCAACTCGTTTAAAAATAAATTAAAATTTGCACGTATATGGCCTCCACTTTTGTAGGCATAGGCCCTTTTTTTGCATTCTATACGATTTGTTTGTTTGTATATATGTTTGTATATCACAGAAACAACTTTAAATATACGTACATTCTGGTTGTCTGGGTAGTCTGCAGGACAAACAACAAGTGTTTCTGTATAACGTATTCATCCTGGAAACCAAATTAACAATACCTTGTTAGACCGTTTTAGAATCTTCGTTATCATTTTCATTTTATGATGTACAAGGGGGTCAGGGGCCATGTCACCGATGTGAATATTCACACCATCCATAATACACCAGGGAAGGGGAGAGAAGTGAGCAACACAGCATCTTTACCCATGGGGGTTAAAAAAGTTCTGCGAGGTATGGTAAACCAGCTGCTCAGGGATTGTAGAAAGGAAAGGGTTGGGTAGGTTTTGTGTGAAAAGCGCACAAGTTTTTATCGTATCGTTGAAAAATGGCCTCGTTTGGTTTGCGATCTCGTCACTATATAGCGCATCGATTACATCACACCGTCAATGAAAAAGAAATTAAAAGAGATTGAAAGAGATTATTAGTGAGTTTTAAACTGTGAGTTACCTATTAGAAATACATTTGTAAAATTATCTCCGTGTACTGAACAGCCATCTCTCTCGCCCTACCGCCACCTAATACCCCGTTCACATTACAACCTATATCACGTAATATAGGCTGTCTTGCACTCATACATAGGATTTCCAGTGCAAACTAGATGTATGAGTGCTCATTGCAAGACAGCGTATATCACGTGATATACGCTGTAATGTGGACGGGGTATGAACGTCTGAAGGAGTGTGACGTCAAACTCCGTCATCCATTCAATCAGCCGGAGAACGTGCCACCGTACCACATGTTGTTGGGATGATAACCCGAATAGGTTGTTAGGCACTCCTTATGATTATCGTTCATGCGGTGTTTCAAAGCAATTTACATCTAATCAACCCTCTGTGCGACCCAACCCGTGCAATGTATTTAATGTTGAGAGCCTTGTGTGCTTTATCATGAGTGGTCACGGATCTGGCAATATTCACATGACTATGCGTCCCGGTGACGACGACTACGATCCAGCCGGTTTACAATAGGTTTTATACAAGAGTACTAAAATAGATCGTAGTATACTTAAAGTTTTCGACGTTCCCATGTACTCCTTGTTTACCTTCAATACTTCCTTCTCTTGTTGTATTGTGTTTCTGGATATGCCACTTCCATCATCCCTCTGACACAGCTCTGGTACTCTCTTCGGACCCAAGCTAATCGATTCACCCCTAGAAACATAGAAAATTCCAATAACCCCTCATTTTATCTGTCAAACTTTCATGGCGTATCAAAACAAACATTGTGCAGTACTAAAATTTTGACTAGAATAGGGGACGTTAATCGATTTGCTTGGGACCAATAGACTAGTCAAGTAGTGAGCCAATTTAAAATCGATAGTTTCGTATTGATTGTTGGTATTAGGCTGTTTCATTTGAAAAAATTTTTTGTTTAAATTTGACACTTCGAAAATAAATTATTATGTTCGTAAGAAATAAGACTGGTACAATAGCAGGTTTATTTGAAAGTACATATTCCATCTGTCAAATTTACATTTAAATTCACCAAAGCTGTGTTCCATTTGGCGAAATTTTAACCTAAATTTAACACTTAATATAAATTTAAAATGTTCGAAACTCTCTCTGTGTTGCTGATCGGGCGATTTTCGAGAAGATGTCTGTCAGAAATAAGTTTGGTACAATAACAGGTCTGTCAAATTTAAGTGAAAATTCATCAAATGGACCAAAGCCTAATAATGCTGTTGCTGTCAGTTGCGTCGAATTATTTTCCCTGAAACTGGAATATTTTTTCCTTCCTTAACAACAACTTAGGCTGTGAACCATTTGCCGAGTTAAATTTAGCTCGTGGTTAAAAGTGACATTTCGAAAGTTATTTTCTATGTTCGAAAATCCCCCTGCTGTTGATCGGCCGGTTTTCGAGCCACAGTTGTCAAAATTAAACTTCTTGTCTGTCAGAAATAACCATGCTCGGATAGCAGGGTTAATCGATAACTTTTCATCTGTCAAATTTTAACCAAAAGTTAAAATAATCCACCAAATGGTTCAGAGCCTTAATGGGTACTCACGGCAGCCATTAACGATCGCAAAATACTTACTCTCTCACTCAAGTATCCTGTACACTCCTAGTGGTGCATAAGGCCAACGTTGAAAGATTTCCATCCTGGTTGGCAGCTCGCTTTTGCCTGGACCTGGTTAGATTTCTGTCGACTTATTTTATTTCCTTGTTGAGACTCCATCGACGATGGAGCTCAGTATCTAGTTGTGAGGCCACCAGGCATCGGTTGATGACGACCTGCAGCATTTGAGTGTTGTCCACTGATACACACCACATCTCGCTGGCACTGGCGCTGGGACACAGCCTTAGTCGATTTTTTCTTGGATAGATTTTCTCGATAATTTTTCAGACTGTTGTGAGATGTAAACCACATTTCAACATCCTTTCACCACGCATTTCCTTGGCAATTTTCAAATTAAAATTCGGGAATTTTTATTTTGAACCTTATTATCCTATTAGGACCTGCAACTTGACGTCACAAATGAACTCAATGTTCATCGAATGAACTATTTGACAGTTTAGTGGTACTGTTTACAAGTACTAAGAAGTTTTCTCGAAAAAAACATATTTTAAAATTTCTGAATTTAAATTGGAAATTTGTTGAGGAAATGCGCTGTGAAAGGATGTTACATCTCACTGCAGTCTGAAAAATGATCGAGAAAAAGAAATCGACTATGTCCACGTAAACAGTGCCACTGAACTGTCCTCCGATTGAGGTTAACCCCGACGGTGCAAAACCATATTATCGAGCGCAAAATACCGAATTTTTTTTTTCCTTTGGTTTGTTTTTTCCGTCGATCTTGTTTTCCGTGCTGAGCACCAATGCTACCGACGTGCCAGAAAGGCAGCTCCCACACCTGGACCCTACCTATCGACCCATCAACTCATGAACCGGGGACCAACGGCTTTACTTCCCCATCCGAAGGAAGGCGTGATCAGAGATGTTATGCCTCAGAACATCCCGGCGGCGCCGACTGGGATTGAACCCAGGCCTGCTTGGGTGAGAGGTAATCACGCTTACCACTACACCACCGGCGCCGTTAAAATACCGAATAGTCTTGTTATATAATAGACCTATAGAAAGAGTAGAGAACGGCTATGAATGAATATGATATTATCACTGAACAAAAACGTACCATTCACGTCTAAATTTTCATTAGATTACGAGTTTATTCTACTCTCTTTGATCTGTCCCGATTTTTTCCTCTCATTAGATTTTGATCACTCCGAACCGAGTAAGAACGCGAAATTCGCTTCGCAACAGAAGGTACGGGGAAAAAAAATAATCTAACAAAAAATATTCATAAACGGTTGAATGCTTGGTGTTGTGTTGCAAAAAAAAAAATAATCTTAATTTCGAAAATGCTTGCATAATAACAGTACTCGGTAGTTTTTAGATAAGGTTTAGTTTGGTTTTACGCATGGAATGTACTTAGTTAGTTGCTGATGTTTGGCTTGCATCCAATCAGTTAAAACTGACAAAAAATACCGACCTAACGATCGAACATAGGTTGCTACCTAGTTGGCTTAATTTTGCTTTTAAGATTTCTTTTTTTGCTTTAAATTTCGAAGGGCACGGGAGAAAAAGCCAATAACAATAAATAAATCGCCTAACGCTAATACATCTACCACTTTCCTCGTCAAATATAAATAATCAAGCCAAATCATTTTTTGAAAATGACTTCCATTGGCCACATTTTGTTTGCTACATTTGCATGGATTAATACTTCTTCTATCTCTTGCGTTTCGTCGTTTTAGTTGAGTGAATAGTAAAAATTCTCACCTCATCTCTAAATGTATGCTTGTGTGAGCTGTGTTTGAGTGTATTTGTATTGTGGGTGTGAGTGTGTTTGTTTGTGTGAGTGAATATTATTTGAGTGCTGCTGCTGCTGCTGGTGGACAATGCTAGGGCAGCTTCCAAAGTTATCTTCCGTTGCTTTGCACTTAATTGAAATAAATATCAGTAGATCGGTTTTTAGACTAAACCCTTCTTGTACAAAAAGCAGCGAACTTTCGCACAAAAGACGAACAGTACAGTAATAATGGGTTGTCTTTCTCACTCTTATAATACGATCCTTCGGTAGCGATCGGTGGTTGCTGACCGAGTATAGATTTGTACGGAGATTAGATACGGAGAATTTAAGACAGTGTAGGCAGAATGCGAAAACGCCACCCCATTCAGTTCGTTTCCCTATTATAGATCAGTGCCCGGAACCTAGCCTAAATTTCCCCACACACGAAAGAGAGCAGGATTAGTAATTTCCATTTCAGTTCACTACCTTATTTGACACTGAAGAAGTCAAGAAGTCTGTCAAGGATAAGCAAATAAACTAGTGTAATTAAATGGAAATTACTAATCCTTCTCTCTTTCTTTATAGTTCTAATGGGCTTTCAAGAGCAAAGGGCAACTTTTACGTGCACTGATCTATTCTCTAGATCTGGATCCAGCAACAACTTCTCATTGGGCAGCAGCAGTGTTTAGTGCTTGAAATTCCTAGAACTTTCAAAGGGCACCCAACCAAGTAACAATTTTGGTTTTATGCGAGTTCTTTGGACCATTATTGAAACTTGTAGAATGCTTTAAAACCTTGCAATTTAAAGAACGCCCCATCAGAAAATAAAGTTTCAATTATTAACAAACGAGCTGATTTCAACATGAAGTAATATTTGTAAGCTCAATCTGCTCAACGCGTAAATAAACAGCGCGCCTTGTTCTATTTAAAACGAATTCCAGAACATAACCCCTCAAATCCAAGCCCGGTCAGAAACCGCCGCGTACACAGGTAAAAACGGATGCCTAACTTATATGTATCGTTACCGCTAAGCTGCATTCGGAATATATTAATCATCTGTGATCTTACCGTACGTCCTACCCTAGTATAATAATAATTAATCATATAAATATACTTTGTTGGAGTCGATTTCTGCTTGCCGTCAGGAAATAATAGCATTCCCAAACACGCGTGGAAATTCACATACACATCTTATAAAAAAAATAGTACTCACACTTCACGACGAAGACGTCGCGACGACGGGGGGGATCTCACAGTTGCGAAGAAAAATCAGACTTGAAAGTAGTCACTGACGCCGGTGGTTTCTAGCTCGCACACCGACGGCGTCTGCGCTGCTGCTTCGGCCGGAGGAGTCTCGGAACCGGTATCCTCCGTCGCCATCACGGTCGACTCGTGCAAGCCGGGCGTCGCCGAGGAATCGGACGACTTCGAGAGCGAATCGTTGGACGATGGACCGGCCGTCGAGGGGGTTTGCCCGGAGGGTTCGTTGTGTAGCCGTTCGTAGGGATTTTCTTTGACGTTGAGATACTTGACGGATTCGTAGTTTGGATCCGATTCGCTTCCGGTGAGAGATTCGTAATTGGAAGAAAGTCGACTGTTGCTGTTGTTCGTTGCGGTGTTGTGCTGTTTGGTGTAGCCTATCAGGTTATCCGGCGAGCTGGTGCTATCAGTGGAAGGAGTAGTACGGGTTTCCGAGATGCTCGAATAACCGGGCGACGAGGTGAGGTTCGGGGGTTCCGGAATCGTGGAGTAATTGTTAGAAAGAATCGCTGCCGAATTGACCACGATAGGAGCGTTTGTGATGCTGGAATAGATGTCGGAATCTTCACCCGGATCCAGATTGTTATTGTTGAGGGTTTGCTTTTTCCGCTTCGTTTCCTCGGTGATACTCGCGTAGTCGTGCACCACCGGCGGTTTCTTCTTTTCCGTTATCACACTGTAGCCAGGATCGTAATCGATCTTCTCCTTTATACTACTGTACCCCGGGGTGCTGTCAGTGTCATCATCCTTCCCGAAATCGAGCCGATTCTTGGCCGACCGCTTATCCCTTATGCTGCTGTACCCGTCGTTATCCCTCGCGGGCCTTAGAATTTCATAGTTAGGATCCGAATCCGATTCGGCACCTTTCCTGTTCAACGTCTCGTACCCCGGATCGTTGCTTCCGGGAAGACTCTCGTAGCCAGGTTCTCCATCAGCGGACTTACCGACCCCATGGAATATTTCCAGAGAATTTCTCGAGACACTCTGGATCCCTTGCGCCACCGCTAGATTGCTGCTTCGCTTCTGAATCTGGGCATAGTCTGCGGATTTCCTAAGCTCAGCCTTACTGTTGGCACTGTCACCAGGGATCGTTTCGTATCCCGGATCTTGCTGCTGCTGCGAATGGTGGCGAATTTGTTTCTTGTCTAAGGTTTCGTAGTCGTTGCCAGAGTTGATCACCGGTAGGGGTTTCTTGCTCGGAGACCCATGCAGGGAACCACTTCCGTTGAGCTGCGTTAGCTCCGGATCCGATAGAAATTGTTCGGCATCGGCTAGCAGGGCCGTACCATCCTTCCGCAGCGGAACTGGACTCGAGTTTTGCGAGGGTGCTTTCGAGAGTTTGTTCTTTTTCATGACCTGTGGAAGAATGGGGGGAGGGATTGGACACATTGCATAAGTTGGTTGAACAAGTTTCCTTACCTTGGCATACATCCCCTCCAGATCCTTGGAGGGACTCTTCTTCGGTTTGATCGCGGAGCCGTTGGCCTGCTGTTGGGGCGTTCCATCGTCGGCTTTGGCCCCGGAAATGTTCTCCCGCGAGGTCTTATACTCGATCACTGAGGCAACCGAATTCCGACCGGACTGGCCGGTCTGCGTGGACGTGTTCGAACTGATCGAGGTGAGGTTTGAGTTGCTGAAGAAGGTGTTTGTCGACTGGTGCTTTAGATTCTTTGGTGTCGGCGGGAGGGGCGAGTTGGCCTGACGTTTCTCCGGCTTCGGAGATCCCAGGTTGCCAACCGAGCTGGTACAACTGGAGCTGCTGGCTTGGCGCGAGTGTGCATACGACGGGTGCGGCTGGTGAGCCCTAAGGCTATCGATCGGTGGTGGCGGTGGCTGTCCGGATGATTCGTCCATCGTACCACTATTGCTACTGAGACGGTTGTGAAGGGTGGTGGCTATTGCACTAGTAGAAGAGTTCGCTGGAAGTGGCTGAAGGGCATCGAGCGAATCTTCTTGCGGGAGGCCAGCCGAAGGCCGGCTGGATGCTCCGGTGTTGATCTCGACCGAGACCGTCACCATGTTCGGCGGTTGGATCTGGGCGTACGTTTCCGAACCGCTGGTATACAGGTCACCCTGGTTGTTCGGGTCGTCAATTGCTGCGTACATTTCGTCTGGAAGATGGGAAAGGGTTCAATGACAGGACAATTCCGCATGGATGAAGCCATTCATAGAGAACTTACCGGAGTCATCCGAAACGGTGGCATAGTGTGAGTCGCCCAAGATTTGACGCCTCTGTGCGGTGGTTTGGTTTTGAGATTGAGGTAAGAGATTCGCCAACGGTTCCCGGACGCTAATACTGGTGTAACCCTCTGGGTAAATTGGAAAGACATTTTAAATCAAGATGTTTTAATCTAACTAGATGAACATTTCCAAACGTCCTATCTGCTTGAATCGAGTCTCTGCAACACATTTGTGACTACTTCCGCCACACAGTTTGATGACATAAGCTAGTATCTAGTGCACAGGACGTCAAACACAACAGGAAAATATTCACAATGTGGGATCATAAGAAAATGCAACTTCCCAGATTTCCCGCCTGATTGAATTGTTAATTCAAAAGAAACGCTTGGAGGATACCTAAAAAATCCTGGAGTAAATTATAAACAAGCTCTGCCCAGAATTCCAAAATAATTTTGAGAATAGTCCTAAGAAATTTTGAGGTGAACATTCAGCAGGCAAATGCATTATTAAAAAAAAACTGTACACATCCATTACAAAAAATAAAACCTCCAGGTTATTCCGAGTTCACTGACGATCAATACAGAAAGGACCTTTTGAAATGTTATTCAAGAATTAGAGTGCTCATACTTGAGGAATCCTGCGAGTCACCGCTAAAGTGCTGCTGCGGTGGTTGTACGATTGGAGGAGTCATGTACGGTAGGTCTTGGCTTGCGGAGACGCGTCCAGCGATTGCTGATGCCGCGGGAATATCCTGAAAAAAAGACGAAGTTATCTATTAACCAAAGGATAATTCCCGCAAAAAAAAACTAACCACAGTAGAAGCTTCCCGATCGTCCAGCAAGCTTTGGTTGGAGTCCCCTCCTCCACCGCCTCCACCTGCCACGCTGGATAGGCCACGACGCGAGATGGGACTTAAGAGTTCATCGTCGTCCACGGTGACAGCGACCTGCGCCGTTCCGCTGGTACCCGGTTGGACGACCTGCGCGTATGGATGCTCCGCCCGACGTAGTTTATCGTACGCGTGCGGAGGAGACCGAACCCTCGCATACGGTGAACTTATGTCGTCCGCTTGGCTGATGGAGCTGTGCTGCGAAACGCTGGCCTGCTTCTTCAAGCTGGATGTGGCTGAAATCGATCAAGACCCAATTAGTCCACCCTCACCAGTTAAACAACATGTCGCAACTTACGACTTCTTCCTTGGGGAAGATCCTGAACCTTGTCGCCAACGGTTGCGTACAGTTCGGAGTTGTTATCGCCAACCGGTTCCACCACCGGAATATCCGGCAAACTTCGGTGCGGTGCATTGGAAGCCCTTGAAAGCACATGAATACTCACATTAGATACAACAAGCAACTCAAAAGCTCTAATATTCAAAGCAAATTTCAACCGGAATCCAATCAAGACGGCACTACATTAACACGCTAATGCCTATTTAAATAGCAAACAGAAACAGAACAACCTTTTACTAATGCTTTCCGGTTCGCTGCGATCTGGCTGGTCGGTTCCGGACCCCATTCCGGGGCCACCGCTTTCGCCACCCACCGTCGTCCCCTGGCTGGTTAGAGTGTCCTCCGGGTTGGTTAGCTTTACCATGCCTTCCAAGCCGAGCAGGTCATTTCTGCCGGGCAGGTTGTCATTCGGCAAACAGGAATTGGGGTAGTGATATGTGGTAGTAGTAGTAGAAAGGTGTAAATAGTACACACGGCACACGCACACAGCAAAACAAACACGTGACAAAGAGATGCATGGTTGGGAAAGTGAAGAGAAATATGAATTAATACAGTTATACAACTAATTTGGGAAAAATTGGGTAGAAAGGACACATGTGTGGGAATGGTTTGGGTGAGCTGCGGCAATTTCTAAGTTATTCTATTTCAGCGCCGAATGACGAGTTGATCGTTTTCAAATTGTCACAACGGTACAGATCTAAAATGCTGCATCTACATTAAATAATAACAGAACTAGTCTACTTCAAAGGAGGAGGAGAACGGCTAAAGAAAATCAGCGGTAATGGATTCTAATTGAAAAATCACAACGGAGTGTTAACTAATCGCGTATTCACTTTGTACATGGTGAATGAGGAATAGGCACATGGATGAGTCACGTGAAGGCGAACGGCGACGGGATGACACTCGTGATCGAACTAGGTGTGAGTCATCTCGGACAGTGGTTTTTAAAGGTTTTATTTTATTTTAATAAATGCAATCTTTGGGAAATAGAACAGAGGACAATACCTTTCTACTTCCGCTCGTAGATCTTGAGGTTTACGGTACACTACCCCTAATGTCCCTTCGTAAGTAACATTGATAGTCTTATCGAGGTTTTAAAGCATTCTACAAGTCAAAATCATGATCAACAGAATCCTTATAAAACCAAAATTGTTGGTTTTGGTTGGACACGAATCTCATTAAAATCAATATCTGACCTTTTCTTTAAATAAACCATACCCCGAAATATGATCATTGCAACCTATTTTTGAATACTTTATTTATTTTTTGAATACGATGGAGCACCTATTTTAATTGGAAGCCAATGGAAGACTGCTTTAAAAGGTGGCCAATAAGGTTAGATTTCTTAAGTAATGCATGGCACAGTGCTTAAATGGTTCCAAATCGGGTCCTGATTAGCCTCCCAAAGTTACAACTAATTTGGCTAGAAACAGACTTCGCACAAGCCATTTCAAGTTTACATGTAAATTACTATGGGAAATCTCAACTATTTGTTTCTTTGCCTTCTAGTATTTTTTCCATATTGAGCTGCGAAACAGTTCGATAGCCATTCTTATAGAAAATTCTCTCAGCTACAACTTTGCTGAAGATCGTTTCTATGTAAAACGAGACAGGAAAAAGTTATTAATTATTCAAGAGATTGGTAAACTTATGACATGATCAAGCAGCTGCTCTGTAGGCAACACTGTATTTTGCAGTGTGACATAGTAGCCATGATTTTTTTGTCCTATTCAACGCCCCAGAAACACTAATGTTGCCTGCTGAGCAGTTGATTAAGCATGATCATAAGACATCAGCGCATTGAACCATTGATAACTTTCGATCCTTGCATTTAATCAAAAAGTGGTCTTCAGCAAAGTTGTAGCTCGGAAAATGTCATACAAGTACAGTTGAAATCTTTTGAAGCAGACCGATATGGTGAATTATCAGATAGACATGAACAAAAATCTTGGTTTTACCATAGTAATTCCCATACAAACTTCAAATGGTTTGTGCCATCTCAATTTCTCACCAAATGTTTGAACCCATTTTGAGAGGTTAGTCAGGATCCGATTTGGAATCGTTTAAGTGTTGGGGAGCGAAAATTTCAAATTTTGCATCACTCTAATGGCCCATTTAGTAATAATGCACCAATCATTTTCAATTATTAAAGAGATCTTAGTGGATGAATTTGGAAACTTTTTACATCCGAGCAATTCTCACTGAAACTAGTCCATTTTTTTTGCACAGGGGTGACGTTTATAGATCAAAAATCGAAGCTGCACGCCATTTTGGAATCCAATATGGCCGCCATCGGTTTTAGAGATACTGTAAAATACCCTACAATATGCGTATTTCCGAAACGGGGATGACGTCAGAGGTCTACAATCAATGTTGGACACCATTTTGGGATCCAAGATGGCGACCATCGGTTTAATAAATACTGTCAAATACCCAACAATATGAATGTTTTCAGAACAAAGACGACGTGTGAGGTCAAGGGGGTGCTCACTTCACACAGTGTACATAAAACACAGTTGGGCACACTTATTGGCACTTTTTGGCACCCATGGTTAAATTTGCTATGATTGTTTAAGTTTCTGGCAACATTGAACTATCTCTGCGCCTGTGCAGCTCATTTGTCAAATGCCAAATCATTGTTGATGACGCATTCCAATTTTTGGATTCGGGTAATTGCAACCGCGAATATTCGGCGTAGACCTGCCAATGCCATAGATTCCCAGCAGCCTGTCCGAAAAGTAATTCATTCTGCGCACGGCAGACCAAAAACACGACAACGACATTCTACAAAATACTATTCGGCCCTTTACCAATAGGTACTCTGTATAATGTTTCGGTTTGAATAGATTGAAATCGGCTTGGCTTTTATGCGGGATTACAACTTTCGATCGTTCCGGTGGCAGTGGTTGGTGATGAGAAGCAATATCGAAGTAAACAACCGCCAGCAGTTATAGTTTGGCTCAAGGGGCAAGACAGTTTTTGATCATGAGTAAAATCGGAGTCAATGTTGAGTAACTCTGACCTGCTCTGAGTACCCCGCGTTGATAGACATCAAATACACATAGCAACCTGATTTTTGTGTTGCAATATGTCATCATCGGTGGGCGGAAACCGATTGATATACTTTTCTGCAATAATTTCATACGCAACTGAAAACTGGTGCTGGACTTGCTAGATTGTATAATTCTGTCCGGTGTTACAGAATGCACGGATTGTAACGGTGATTCAAGACGACCACCAAGCTTGAGTTAACGGATACCATCACCGATCGGATGAATATATTTGCCGGAACAATTGTAGCTGGTTTGAGATTGCGGCTTGTAGCGCCGTTTGTTTCTGCTTCTCCCAGTGTTTAGCATTTTGCTGAATTTCCATGAGTAGCATAATGGAATTCACCAACAAGATTGTCCAGCTGTTGAAAATGAAATTGCCTGAAACTATTGTTCAAGCTAACAGGGAAAATTTAACACTGAGCTCTCCTGGAATTCTCCGGAATTCCTTTTTTTAATTCACTGCGTTTAAGCTCAAGAGCGGATAGTGTCCTTATGACAACATAGTCGGCACTTAAACTGCTATTCATCGCATCATTTTTCATTTGACTTCCTCCCTTGACAACTTTTAGAAGTAGCATCCACAAGCACCAGGAACATCGCCACGAAGCTTATATGTCATTAAGAAGGGCTAAGATTGTCCCCAAATGCCACCAATCGAATATCTCCGGGTACAATCTGAGCAAGGCCTCAGTGCAATAAATCTAAACGGAATACGCGAAGACTCCCTCCTGAAGCGTATTTGTCTCAAACGCCTACGTCGAGTACAGCCAAAGACACCGCTGGTCGTTCGTAGATGCCCCCCGATGCGGTTTGCACGGTAGCCCACCTTACCTGACCATCTAGAGCCGGACACGTGGCAATCATTCGGCCTTTTGGCCAGCAGTTTCGTGGTAGCTTGGAATCCACAATGATTACCAGATCTCCAACTGTGATCGGCTTCACCGGTGTGAACCACTTAGTCCTACGAGTAATTGTAGGCAGGTAGTCCCGAACCCGTTGCTTCCAGAATGCGTCCGCTATCATCTGTGGCTGCTTCCAGCAGTTCCTAAACACGACAGGGCTATCGTCCAGAGGAGCCCACGATCTCAAGCCGTTGGCGGATCCCAAGAGAAAGTGATTGGGCGTCAACACCAGGAAATCGTCACCATCGCTTGGTACGTTGGTCAGAGGACGGGAGTTAACAATATTCTCGATCTCCACCAACGTGTTCTCCAGTACTTCGGGAGTCGGGATCCTGCTCGTCTGCATTCTTTCGAGGTTCTGCTTGACACTCCGAATCAAACGCTCCCATGCTCCACCCATGTGAGGCGTGACGGGAGGGTTGAAAGACCACTCAGTGTGGCTGGACGTGAACTCCTTCGCTAGCGCATCGTGGTCGAGTTTTTCTGTTGCGCTCAGCAACTCCTTGCTTGCAGCTCGAAAATTGGTTCCACGGTCGCTATATATTGCAGCAGGTATACCTCTTCTAGCCATGATGTTCCGAATGGCCATTACACAGGAATCGGTGGTCAGTGAGTGAGCGATCTGCAGATGGATGGCGTGGCGTGGAGTGGTTAAGCAAGTGGCGAGAACCCCCCACCGTTTCTCGGTACGTCTTCCAACCGATACCATCATCGGACCGAAGTAGTCCACGCCCGTGTGGGGGAAGGGACGAGTGAAGGTCAGCCATTGCTGGTGGCTGCGGCTTGGCGCGGAGGACTTTACATTGCTGACAGTCTTTCCGTATCTGATGGTACGCTGCTTTCAGGCGAGGAATACGGTAGCATTGCAATATCTCGTTCACCACCGTTTCGTGGTTTTAATTATTGAATCTATCATGCACTGCAGAGATGATGAGGCGAGTAACAGGATGATCCCGGGGAGGAATCACCGGTTCGGCTGCATCTCGATCGATAAATATACATGCCTTCGTTGGACCTTTGACACGCAGCACGTCATTTTCATCCAGAAAGGCACATCACTGGTAGAGCAGGCTTGATCTGGGAACCGTTTTCGCTGGCTCCTTCAGCAAGCGGTTCTTCGTGAAGATAGCTGTCTCTTCTGCGAAAGCGGTAGACTGAGCCTGGCGAAACAGATGATTTTCTGCGTCGATGAAGTCCTGTCTTTTCAGCGGTCCCGACACTCGCAGTCGTCCGTAGCAGCAACGTTTCAGGTTGTTGATATAACGCAGCACGTAGGCCGTTACGCGTAGCAGGTCGGTCCACTTCGAGAAATCCAGTGGGTGAATTGCTGGATCACTAAGCAGATGCGGTCGTAAATCCTCCTCGGTAGTTCTTCCAGGAAACGGATTCACAGGCCAATCTTCTTCTTTGAGGAGAAGGAACTCCGGTCCACAG